CCAACCTGGCTGGTTTGTAGACCTTCATCAGCCCTCAGAACTCATTCCTGCTGTGGAAGGAATCACCCTGCTTGGAGTACCTTTGTGTACTGCTCCACCAGCTTGGTGAAGTAGTTGAAGAGGCTGTGCTGGGGACGAAGGAAATCAAACTGGTAATTCCTCTGCTCCTTCTGCATGAGCTGGGTGAGGAACTGCCTCCCGTTGCGGGCCACGAACTGCGCCGTGAGCTTCACCACGTCCAGGTCGAAGGCCGAGATGGACGGAGGGTCCGCGATGAACTCGAACTCGGGCGGGGGCTCCTTGGGCACCACGGTCTCCTGGATCACCTGGGCCTGCACCTGCAGGGAGAACACACAGCCCAGTGACCTCCTGTGATGCCTTGGGAAGGCTGACCTAGAACAGAGGCTAGGCAGAGCTGAAGGATAAAGTAGGGAGTTGTCAAGAGGCCTCAAATAAATTCACCTTGGGCAGCACAACCCAAAATGGCCACCTAATGGATCGCAGGTCACAGGGTCTCTCACTTTTACAAGTTTTGGTCCATTTGCATACTGGCGTTAATTGCACAATTACAGCTTTAGCCATGAAGTCCCATCCTTCTTGTTGTCTCTCTTTGGTGCACTGCTGTTTGTGCTCTTGGGCCTGAGATTTGGATCATTTGTCCTTGGTCCCCAGCTAGAGAACGAATTGTTTTGTCTCCCTGCTCTGTGAAGAGAGTTTGTCTCCCTTCTCTGTGAAGAGACCTCGCCATCCCCTAATATGAAGCCCAGATTTATACACTAAAGCAGAATAGAATCTGAAAAATACAAAAGCTAAAACCTGAGGCATCACCTGCAAGGAACGGTCACCAAACACTCAGGACAATCTTTTTTTCCCTCCAGCTGCTGCAGGAAAGCAATGCCAGTTGCCATCCTGGCAGGTGCAAGGATGAGAAATCATCAGGTATAATTTAATACTATTAAAAATGTTGTTCCAACAGCAAACAAATCTGGAATGTATCAGGACTTTGCTATAGGCCTCCCAGGGCCAGCAGTGTGGCTGCTGGCCATGCCAAGCATGGAAAAGCCTTGATTTCACTTCATGCCCTTTTCCCACCCAGAATTTAAAGGCACAGCTGAACATTTTGTACCCCAAGTTTTAAGGGGAGGTCAACCCTTCTGGCAGGAAAAGTTTCTACAAAATAGTGCATGCAACCAGGCCAAACAGAACTCCAAGGGATTCCCAAGGCTTGCTTCTGCCACATCCAGTCCAAGTGATCCCCAGTGTAAGTACTTTGTAAGCCAATACAGAGCTAAATTTAATTAACATGGACCAATTAAACTATAAAATATTGGCAATTTCAAGCAACTTTGAGTTATTGGCACCTGGGAGATGCACATCTGCATGAAAACAAAGCCCCAGCCACTCAACTCCAAGCCTGTCACTGCAGGCATTTTGACAACTGTACAACCAACTGCTCCTTCTTGACTTTCAAGCTTCCTTCCTTCTCAACCCCTGGGTGTGACATGACCCCAAAGTGGCCAAATTCTTCCCCAAAGGGATGAAAAGGAACACTCACCTTCTGTGGGAGCTGCTGCTGGGCACTCTGCTGCTGCTGCATGACCTTGGGGATGGCAGCTGAGGGCTCCTGGGCTTTGCCCTCCTTGAACTCGCTGACCTTGTGCCGGTAGTAGGCATGGTAAGGGTCGTTGGGGTTCAGGAAGTTGAACTTGGGGTTATTTATTTCATTCTGACGAATTCGGGCTTCAAATTCTGGACCATTTCTGGGGAGCAAGAAAAAAAATTGTTTAGATCATCATCAACTCAAGGATAAATGTCTCTTTCAGACCAGGACATGTTGAGGCACCAGCCCCTTGGAAGATCATTTTCTCTCTCACATGTGAGGAGTTTCTCTCTCAGTAGCTCCCACCCAGCTGGGCACACACAAGTTAGATGCATTTGTGCCCTAATTTTGTCTTTAATGTGAATATTAAAAATTCACACTCACAAGTGTTCCACAGTCACATCTGTCTGCACTCAAACATCATTTCCACCACTGGCTGAAGTTTACAGTTACGAAGCATGAAGTTTACAAGTTACCTACTACATCAATTTTATCTGCTCTGTGAACAAGTTCTCAAGACTAATTTCAGTTCCAGAATGATCACATAAGGGGAAAAAAAAAAAAAAGCAGGTAAACATCAGCCTGTGCAGGGACTGACCAGCCCAGAGTGCTGCATTTAGGAGCCCCAGTCCAGGTAACTTCCCAACCTCCCTAAAGCATGAGCCAATTATTTCAGAGCAGTTTGAGAGAATTCCCAGCTGCCACAGGGTGTTCCTCTTTGTATTCTCTGGATATCTCCCAGCCTCATTTAAAACATTCCACCTCCTCCAAAAGAGGAGGTCTCTGCAATCCCAAAGGATAAACACAGTCCCTTATGCTCAGAAGCAGCCAACACTCCTTGGCAGCACTTTAGAGATGAGTTACACAATAAGGGTTTGACTGGAGCAGCATTCAGTAATTCTCTGAAACCAAACCCCACCACATTTGAGCAATAAAACACAGCCATGACTCCGGTACCAAGGCTCCCTTTGCACCTGGAATTTGGTTTCCCCTTCAGATCATTCAGAACAGGCCCTGCTACCCAGTTATTGCAGCACCCACTGCACATTTGAACATGGATTTTATTTATTTACTACCAGTTTCTCCAGCAAAGGCTGTCTTACACCCTCTTCAGTACAATATTGTTCTTTCTTTTCCAGTCTCAATCCTTAAAATCCTTCATGCAAAACCACAAAGCTGGGATCTGCTTCAGCTTCTAGAGCTGCACTGAACAGCAGAAGCATGAAAACCCCAGGAGAAAGAGACACCAGCAGTGCCACTTACCTGGCTACAAAGCTGGCAGTCTTGTCCACGATATTCCTGACCTCTGGAGGAGGGTAAATAATTCCCACCACAGGCTTGGCTGGTGCTGCTTCCTCTTTAGGCTCCTCCTCTGGCTGTAATAAAGACAGCTTCATTGCAAAAGGTGAAGGGGAGTCAGGATCAGGCATCCCAAACACACTCCCAAAGGCACACAGGAACCTTTATCCATCCTCCTCCTCAGACCCTCAGTCACTGAAGAATCTGGATCATCCATCCCACCAATTCCTTGGCTTCTCAGGGGCACCTGCTGCAGGGGCAGGGACAGCAGGACAAGGAGAGTGCCCCCATGGGAACCACAATTTTCACTGTACCAGCCTCGACCCCAAGGCTGTTTAAAAAACACTGAGCCAGGAGTTACCAGTAACACTTCCAGGAATAACTCATCATTCCTCACCAGCTGTGGAAGTTCTGAACCTTCCTAGGGGCCTGTGGGACTGGAATTATCAACTCCACATTAAAAAGTCACAGCTTTTAACGCCACTGTAGTTGCAACAGAAGCTGTTTTGAAGAGAAAATTTCCAACAGTGTTTTTTTCTCACTGATGTTACAGGAGGAGCCAAACTAAACTCCCAGAACCCTCCCTGTGGATAGCTCTGTGTTCCAGTAGCAGGAGCTGCTTTTGCAGGATACTAAAGATGCTGCTAGGCAGCTTCCAAGAAAAGGTGTTATAAACCAGGACAGATCTGCTGGAAATGTTTATAATCCTAACAGGGATGGTCAGGGATAACTTAAAATCCAGGTAGAGCTCCCAGCTCTGCCAAATCCATGGAAAATCCAAGCCAGAAAATGTTCTCAGGTCAAACTGGTCCCTGGCAGTGCCCAAGGCCAGGCTGGACAGGGCTTGGAGCAGCCTGGGACAGTGGAAGGTGTCCCTGTCCTGGCAGGGGGTGGGATGGGATGGGCTTTAAGGTTCCTCCCACTGCAAACCATTCCACAAAACACAACCCTAACAAAGTGTGTTAAGAGAAAGGCACCAGGAACATTTCTAGTTTTTATTCCCACTCCCTCAGAACACCATCTTGAGGAGCTGAAGGATGGGGCAACACCACACTTGAAATATTTTATTTAACATTGATGCTGAGTTGCCTTGGTAACATCTCTGCATAAAAGTCACTGGGTTTTTGGGGGGGAATCACAATTTTCAAAGTTTCTCAGTGAGAGCAGCTCCCTGTCAGCTCCAAGGTTGCTGATGCTGCTGTGTGAGAGTCAGGACAGCAGCTCCAGCTCTTTGGGAGCTGTATTCCCACCCCAGGAATACATGAGGAATGAATATTCCTATCTCTGGCTGCAAAGAACATGAATATGGCCAAGAGAGAAAGGATTTGAGAGGGTGCAGGGACACCCAGCCCTGCCACGCTTCTTCAGACTTTTAATCCTTCCACACACCATTCCTGGAGCCAGGGCAGCTCCCCCAGCTCCTGGCATCCCACACTCACTGCAACCACAGCCCTGGGACACTGCCAGAGAAGGGCTCAGCTCCTGCCCAGCCCCAGCAGGATCCTGCTGTCTCCAAGGAATCCTGGAATGGTTTGGGCGGGAGGGCAACCTAGAGCTCATCTCATCCCACCCCTGCCATGGGCAGGGACACCTTCCACTATCCCAGGTTCCGGGCCTTGGGCACTCAGGGGTCAATGCAGCGCTCCGGACGACACCGCAGCGCCCCCAAGCCCAGCCCGGTCCGTGAGGGCCCCACTCCCACACCCCCGCGGTTCGCGCCATTCCCCGCTCCCCTCCCCTCCCTCACCGCCGCCCCTCCCCGGCCCGCACCGGTTTGCTCTCGGCGGGGGGCGCGGGCTGCGCCGGAGGCACAGCTTGCACGGGTCCGGCGGGCATGGCGCTGCCGGGGCCGGGGGCTCCGCGCCGGGCGGGGCCGATCGAGGGGCGGGCGAGGCTCGGTCCGGAGCAGCCGCGGCGCCGGCACCGACTGGGGCGAAATGGCGGCGGCGGGCACGGTGCCGCGCGTGCGCGCCGGAAGTGACGCAACGCCGGCTGGGGGCGCCGACCCAGATTGGCGGGAAGTGGGTGGGCACAGGGCGCGCGCGCCCGCTGTGGGATGTACCATTGGAGTCCCGTGGGGGGGGGGGCGCCAAAGCAGGAATGCACCACTGCGGCGCGGGAGGGGCGTGGTTGCCATGGCGACAGGGCTGGGACGCCGAGGCCTAGCACAGATCCCGGGCCCCGCGCTTCTTCTCCGCGGTTGCTGCTGATTCCTCCGATCCCCCCGGTTCCCTCCGGTTCCCCAGCACTCCTGGAGACCGCCGGGCCCGGGGACTACCGTGCCGGTCCGTCTCCAGCAGCCTGTCCCGGTAGGGCGTTCCCTCCCTCCCAGGCTTGGTGACCCATCGCCCCCTGGCCTGGTGGCCCCGTTGTTCCCGGGCCGTGTCCCCCCCGCACCATGGCGCACCTCCTGGGCCACCGCGGCTGCATGGAGAGCCTGCAGGCCGACCTGCGGGACCTGCAGGCCGCCATCGCCGACGTGTGCTCCCGGGCCGGCGCCGTGCGCTTTCCCTCCTGGAAGTTCCCCGACAAGCTGTCCTGCGAACTGGACATTGCGGTGCTGCTGCAGCGCTACAGGCACAGCGACAGCGAGCCCGAGTTCAGCCAGCACGCACACGTGGTGCTGCTGGAGCTGCTCATAGACAGGTGAGAGGCACCAGGAGCCCGGAGCGGCTCCTGCCCCGCGGGGAAGGGCAGCTGTGCATCTGAGCTTATCCACATCCCGGCGAAGGTTTCAGGCACCTCAGATCAGAGAGAACTCAAAGTTGTTAGAGAGCATCCAGATGAGGGCTGAGAGGGTGGCAGGGTTGAGGGTGAGAGCACCTGGTCTGTTCAGCTGGAACAGAGAAGACTGAGTCCGATCTCAGCGGGGCTGCAGCTCCTCCCAGGGGACAGCTCTGATCTCTGTGACCAGGGATGGGATTCAAAGAACGGCTGGAGCTGTGCCAGGGAGGTTTGGGCTGGATATCAGGAAAAGGTTCTTCCCCCAGAGGGTGCTCAGGCACTGAACAAGTTCCCCAGGGAATGATCACAGAATCAGCTGGGTTGGAAAAAACCTTGGAGATAATCAAGTGCAACTTCTGACATAACACCACCGTATCAATAAAACCATGGCACCAAGTGCCACATCACGGCCCCGAGGCTGCCAGAGCTCCAGGAGCCTTTGGCCAATGCTCTCAGGCACAGGGTGGGTTTGTTGGGGTGTCTGTGAAGGGCCAGGAGTTGGACTGGATGATCGGTGGGTCCCTTCCAGCTCAGGATATCCCCTGATTTTATGAAGTCTTTTGGATGTTCCCCATGTATTTCCATGATGAGCAGTGACAGCAACATGGCCTTATGCCCTGCTGAGCTTTAAAACCCAACTCCTTTCCCTTCTTAGAGCTCCCAGCACAAACTGGCCACAAAGAAGCTGAGCCAGAGGTGGAGCAGATGGGACAGGCTTGTTAAACTGCCTCCCAAAACCTTGGAAACACTCGGACACAGCTGCATCGACAGCCCTGGCAGGCCAAAGCCCCTTTTGCAGTCTGGGTGAAATAAATACAGCTCTGGTTTAAAAGATAAGCCATTCCCACTGAGCTGTTGGCCCTAAAAGTCAGGATTTGCAGGAGCACGGGTGCCCCAAATCTTTGGGGGGGGCTTAATGACAGCCTCTCGGAGTGGCTGCTCCATGAAGTGATCCACGCCGGGCGGTCCCGGGAGCAGCAATCCCACCCTCCTGCATCCCACCGCTTTGTCCGGGTGATGGGAGCGGGCCGCCCTCCCTGCCCCGGCCGGCATCCCCAGCTCCAGGCCGTGTTTTCCCGTCGGGACAGGCTGCTGCTGCTGCTGCAGAGCTTCACCGGCTACGCGGACGCGGTGCTGAGCGGGCGGGCGGTGCCGACGGCGCGGGGCCCGGGGCCCTGCATGTCCGCGGGGCTCACGGCCAGGACCTTCTGGAGCGCCATGCTGAAACTCGGGGCCTTCTGCCAGCAGCTCCGCGACCAGGTGGGACATTTGGGGACGTCCCATGAGCTGAGTCACTCCCCTCTCCCCTTCCGGATTTGGATTGTGGTCCTTCTCAACACCCTGTGGCCACGCCAGATGTGCGTGCACCCTCTGGGTGGTGGCCCCTGTGTCACACATCTGTCCCCTCCCAGCCTGAGTCCCTTCCCTCCACCCCTCCCAGCTCTGCCACTGCATCCATCCTGCTCCAGGATCTCGGGATGAGTGAGCTGGGCTGCATCTAGGGCTTGGAAAACATTATCCTACTGCCAAAATGCTGCAGCTCTGCTGATCCCACTGTGGATCTGAGCTGACTCAAGACAGTGAAATAATTGGTGGTAAAAACAACCTCTCCTGCATTTTATTTTCCCCAAAATGATCTTTCTCATGGAAGAGTCTCACAACAATCCATGTGGCAAAACCAGTAGGCAGTGCAGGGGGTGGGACAGAAGGGATGGTGGGGAGTTGGGGAGTAGGTTTTGCTGCTGAGGCTTCCCCATGGTCACTGTCCCTTGGCTGCATTGCTGTCCTATCACCACACCTGATTTAGGCTTTTATGGGTCATTTCCACTTTGATCTGGGCTCTGGTTTTGTTCTGTGTTCTCTCCTTCGGGACAAGGGTTGCAGGTGGGAGATCCCCACACAGCAATCCACTCCACCCTCTGCTCCCCAGGCTGGGAAATATCAGAAGGAGCACCTGAAATGCTTGCCAGAAGTTTTGGAGCCAGGAGCTCCCCCAGAGGCTGCCCAGCCCACTTCTGTGTGCCCAAATCCGAGTGTGCAGCCCAGGGCTGGCCCCAGCCTGGCTCCGAGCACCCGCAGTGTCCCCACGCAGACCCCGGGGTCACCGCTGGGCTCCTGTGACACCTGCTGCAGCACCCAGGCCAGCCTCCGCGAGGTGGGCAGAGCCATCACCAGCATCTGCCAGAGCCAGAACATCCCTTCAGCTCTCAGCAAATTCCAGGAGGTGCTGGAGGACAGTGCTGGGAGAAGGAACCTCTCTGCAACAGACATGAGCTACTGGGCCTCGGAGCAGAGCAAGGACCTCTCCCGGATCAGCAAACACCTCCAGGAGCTGCTGCAGCAGGTGAACCCCGTGAAGGCTGAGCTGGAAGAGATGGGCAAACAGAAGGAGAAGCTGCAGAAACAGGTTGAGGACTTTTCCAGGAAGCTGCAGGTAGAGAAGGACACCCAAGCAGAGCAGCAGAAGAAGGCTCAGCAGAGCCTGAAAGCCAAGGAAAAGGAGTATTCCAAGGCTGTGGCCAGGCTGGAGCAGGACAAGGACGACCTCAGGAGAGGTAGAGAGCTGTTCCCAGCTGTTCCCAGCATCCCCTCTGTCCTGGGTTGACACCCTCCCAGGCCCAGGGGCATTTGCAGGAAGAACAGAGTCCATGGGCAAATTTTGGCCCCACCACAACCAGCAGGGCCTTTTGTAGGTGCTGGGGGATTTTCCCTGATGTGAGGCCAATCCTGGGTAGTGGAAGCTGGTTGTGTGTGTCCTATCATGCTCTCCTCCCTAGTTACAGAGCACAATCACTGCATGAAAACACTTTGGTGTGGCTGTTTGCTGCCCCTTGGTTTAGTTGTTTCTGAAGAACTGATTAATGAGAGGAGTTTTGTGCTGGTTTAGGAGCTGCTCTGCTGGAGGAGCGACTCTCGGCCCTGAAGGAGGAGCTGGCAGCAAAGGAGGTGGCTGTGCAGGAGCTGGGTAAGGGGCTCACCCAGGGGCTCAGCCAGCTCACACATCCCCCTCACCCTGGCCTCATGAGTGTTTCACACCCTTGCAGCCCCCAGCACCCCCCAGACTGAGCTGTAGAGCTGTGGGGATGGGCAGAGGATGGGCTTCCTTCACAGCAGCACCCCAGCGTCACCCAGTGCCAGAGTGGGCTGATGCTGGTGGAGGTTTGGGGGGTCACAGGCCTCCTGTCAGACCTGCCTCCCTTTGCCAGGGCTTGTGGAGGGCATGGGGTGCCCCTGAACCAGAGAATCATGGACTGGTTTGCATGGGCAGAGACATTAAAGCCCATCCCATTTCACCCCCTGCCATGGCAGGGACACCTTCCACTGTCCCAGGCTGCTCCAAACCCCATCCAGCCTGGCCTTGGGCACTGCCAGGGATCCAGGGGCAGCCACAGCTTCTCTGGGCACCCTGTGCCAGGGCCTGTCCACCCTCCCAGGAAATAATCTCTTCCCCCTGTCCCATCTAACCCTGCCCTCTGGCAGTGGCCATTGCCCCTTGTTCTGTCACTACAGGCCCTTGTCCAAAGTTCCTCTCCAGCTCTTTTGGAGCCCCTTTAGGCACTGGAAAGAGTTCTTAAGTTCTCTCTGGAGCCTTCTCTTCTCCAGGCTGAGCACCCCCATCCCTCTCATCACCTCCATGGTCCTCCAGCCTCTCTCCCCTGCCCAGCCTGGGCCATGGTGGCTGTGTCTTCCCAGAGCTCTCCAAGACCACCTTGCTGGAGGAGATGAGGACCACAATGGTGGCCCGGAGCCAGGTGCTGGAGTTGGAGGAGAAGGTGCAGGTGCTCACAGGCCAGAGGGACAGCCTGGAGCAGGAGCTGAGTGCCAGCAGCATGCAGCTGGAGAAGGAGAAGGTCCGTGTGGAGAGCATGTTCCGGCACGAGGAGGTACGGCCGGCTCCGGAGCCGTGGGACGGCTGAGCTGCTGCTGCTGTCAGGGCTGTGAGGAATGGGTGCCACAGCCCCACACAGGCTCACCCACCACCACAGTCCCTGCAGGCCAAGCAGAGGACCCTGCTGCAGCAGCTGGACAGCCTGGACCAGGAGCGTGAGGAGCTGCAGGCCAGCCTGGGAGAGGCTGAGGAGGACAAGGCCCGGCTGGTGGAGCAGCTGGAGCAGAGCCAGGAGCAGAGTGGGAAACAGCTCCAGGCACAGCAGGTGAGTGCTGGTACCCAGGTGTGGGACACAGCCTGTGCCACAGGGCTGTCAGGAGCCACACGCTGCCCTGCCCACACCCACAGCCAGTTTTCCCAGGAGGGATACTCTGGGACCTAGGGTGACATTGCCACATGGCCACAACCTCATGGGATTCCCTGGGGAAGAGGCCTCCCCCTCCACCCTCTGCCATATGAGTCTCTGGTTGAGTCAGGTCAGAGGAGAGCAGCAGGAAAGGACATCTTGAGGTGCTATCACATCTCCAGTGTTCTGTTTTTCGACACCTGGACACGCTGCACACTTTCTGGTTGGTGTTCCAGGGATCTCACAGTTAAAACCCTGCACATTGTCCACTTCCAACTGCCATAGTACATCCTTATCATCAGGGAAGGGTGGGAGCTTTTCCATGAGAGGCCAAGTCCTCATTCTTGCAAACTTCATCTCCTCCCCGCTGTGCCATGCAGGAGCTGCTGGACACGCTGCAGCAGGAGAAGCTGGCACTGGAGCAATCCATCCTGGAGCTGCAGGCAAACACATCCCGGCTGCAGGAACAGGCACAGGAGCTGAGGGAGCGGGAAAGGCTCCTGGTGTTCTTCCCCGATCTCCACATCCCCACTGAGACGCAGTTTGAGAGTAAGGGAGAAGATGGAAGCACAGTGGGTTTGTGCCTTGGGGTCTCCAGAGCTCCCAGGGGATCCTGCTGGCCCCAGACACTCCGTTTGTCCCACTGATACCCAGGAAGGGCTCAGACCCCATGCAAAGCTGTGACCATCCCAACATGCTTCCCTGCAGGGGTGCTGTGCATCCCACACAGGGCCAGCACATAGAGCAGGACCAGGACATGGCAGAGCTTCCTTTGCCCACAGGGCTTGGGGTCCCAGCTGTCACCTCCCAGGCTGTGCTGCTGCTCCCTGCCCGGGGCAGGCAGGAGGGGTGCCCACGCCTCTGAGCAGACAGGCAGCAGCAGCAGGCTGGGCTCTGTTGGATTTTGTTTGCAGGCAGTGGGAACTTTACAGAGGACATGAAGAGTCAGCTCCAGGCCAACAAGATCCGGATCGAGGTGCTGGAGCGGGAGAACACGCAGCTCGAGGCTCTGCTCGCCAAGGTGAAGGCAGCAGCCGAGCAGGGCGTGCTCAAGGTGAGCTGGCTGCCACATGGGTGGGTGCTGTGTACCCCAAAACTACCCCATGGCCCCCAGACATCCTATGGGGACCCCAGGAGGGCCAAGCCCAAGCTCCTCATGCTGCTGGGAGGTTGCTCTGGTTTAACTGGCGTTGCCTGAGGTGCCCAGGGCTGGTTCCAGCTCCTTTCCATCGTTGTGGCCATAGTGCCACCAGTTGTGATGGCCAAGGGGTGTGATTGGAGCTGAAGCTGGTGGGGGGGAAATTTCACCTCCTTTTCCTTTCCCCAGCTCGTCCCACAGGCCCAGCTGGGGTCCCAGCTGCACAGGGAGGCCAGCAGCCAGGACACTGGGTGAGTAGGAACCCAGAGGAAGGAGCTGGGGGCGGGTTCCCTGCTCTTCCTCCCCTTTGACTGCTCCCACCCTGCAGGCGGCTCAGCAGCGGGAGCAGCAGGGACAGCACAGGAATGTCAGGAAGCATTGACAAGGTCTGGCACAGAGCTCCCAGCAGCCAGCACTCCAAGAAACTCCGGGCAGAGCCCACACCCCAGGCCAAACCGTGCCTCACGCTCCCAGTGCGACGCCTGGGGCTTGGCCTCCCCTCACTCCACACCGGGGCTCACCGCAAATAAACACGGATCAGTCTGAATTTCCTGACAGAGAAATTGTTCCACCAGCAGCCACCTGCCCTGCCCAGGGGACCTCGTTACCTGTTCTTTGTGCGTCAGGAAGGGAAACCTGGGCTCTGCCTGGTTCCTTGGGGAGCTGCTTTAGGGACATTCCTGGGCACTGGGATCAGTCACTCATGGCTACGCTGCTGCTGGAGTCCTCAGAAGAGCCCTGGGGCTGATGCAAGGGCACAGCATGTGCTAGCTCCTGCCAGGAACCATTCCCAAGAGGGGACTGGGATGTGGCCACACTTGGAAGAGGAAAGCTGAGCTGGCCTGGGATGAGAGGAGTCCGAACCACCCTCAGCCCACCAGCACAGGCATAACCTGGGAAAATTATTCCCCCCTCCATGAGCACCGAGGGGCTGGGAACCACCGAGTCACTGGCACAGGCTGGCCCTGACCTCTGAGCTGCATCCCCAGCACTATGAGCCCCGTGCAAGCCCCACACAAACCACACAGCCAGCCCTTGCTCCATGTTTAATAGGGATGGACATGTGCCATGTTGCAGCCTGTGGGGCAGGGCCCACAGTGTGTCCCCAGTGACTGTGCTGGTGAGCCGAGCCCTGTGCTGGCTCTGCAGCTGACTTGTGCCATCCTTTCTAATAAGTTATTATAAATAAAGCATCCAACCCCTGCCCTCCCACAGTGAGGCCGTGAGTCACCCCACAGCCCTGCCAGTCCCAGCCCTGGGTCTGTCACCCACCTCCCAGAGGGGCTGGCACTGCAGCCAGGCTCTGCATACCCTGCCACAGCCACCAGCAAATAGACAAAAAACCCAAGACTTAGAAAAATTGCTGTGAGCAGGGCAAGAGCACAGCAGGACCAGGGCTCTCCCTGCCCCAGCCCCCACCCCGTTACACACATAGGTGCCCCAAATCTTCCCTCCCCAACACTGTCCATCTGGACCCCCCACCCCTCTACTCACACCCAGCAGGAGAGGCCAAAGTCCTTCCCTCTCCAAAGTCTGGGCACTGTGATGGGCACAGCCACACCAATCCTGCTCCGGCAGCAAGCGCCACTCACTGGGCACCCCCTGCCCCCTCCCTGTCCCTGGAGCAGCCGTGGGTCTGTCCCTGGAGTGTGTCCTCAGGCCAGCTAGCTGTCTGTGCAGCAGTTCCCTGCAAGGGAAGACAAACAGCTTGGCACAGGGAGTCTGGCAGGCTCCAGGTCCTCCCCAGGCTGTGCCCCAGGGCCAGCAGGGCCTCAGCTGGGTGCCAGGGCAGTTCTCACCCAGGATGTTGCGCTTGCAGAGAGGGCAGGTCTGCTGCAGCAGGAGCCAGGGATCCACACAGTCCCGGTGGAACTCATGGGAGCAGGGCAGCACCCGCAGCCACTGCCAGCAGGGAAGTGAGGGCACATGTGAGCACAGCTGGGTGGCAGGGACACAGCCCACACCCTGGCAGGGACACCCCGGCCCCGGCCAGTGACCAGAGGCTCGGCCCAGGGTGGGCTCCAGTCCCACCTGGCTCTTGTGAAACTGGTCCAGACACACAGCACAGCTGTCAATCTCACAGGCCCGGCTCCGGGGCGGCTTCCCAGGATGGTACCGCCGGGTTTTCAGTGCCAGCAGCCGCCGCCGGATGTGCTGCTTCAGGTCCAGCTGTGGGGCAGAGCCGAGGGTCAGAGCCCACCCCAAACCCCCGGCACGGCGCACAGCAGAGACATTCCCCCATTCCCACCTCGGCATCCCGCTCCGACAGGTCCTGCCGTGACTGGCGCTGCGCCTGCACCATGACGCCGGTGCAGAGCAGCAGGGCGATCAGCAGGATGGTGTTCCACAGCTGCTGCAGGTACTTCTGTGGGGACAGCGCCGTGGGCACGGGAGCCAGAGACCCGGCCCCGCTCCCGGCCCCGCTGGCAGCCCAGTGCCGTACCTGGACCTGCGAGCTGCTCTCGCCGGGGCAGATGACCCCCTGCCACTCCCCGTAGAGGCCCCCTCGGGACAGGCCGCAGGTGGACCACAGCGTGAGGGTCACTCCCTGCAAGGCAGGACACGGCATTGCTGACGGCCACAGCAGCATCCAGCGACGCGAGCACACGTGTCCCGGGAGGAGGAACACTGGTGCTGCCAGCTGCCCTGTTCCCATGGGTTCCCTTCCCTTCCCTGCTCCCTGCAGCTGCTTCCCATGGATTGGAGAAGTTTGGCTAGGCAAGTCATGCCCTGCTCTCCCACTGGCAGAACGAGGAAGAGGAGGACAGACAAACATACCAGGTTCTCCAGCAGCACTGCCTGATACGTGATCTTCGCCGTAGCCCGAAGCCCACTGTGAGCAAGGAGAAAAGTGTCAATTCCATGGACACAGCAGGATTCGGGCACAGCTCCCCCGTGCCAGGGAGCACCCCCTCCCCACAGGGACAGGCAGTGACTTAGGGGGACTAGAGGAAGTGCAGGGGAGGTGGCAGCAAGACACTTCCTCCCCAGCTGTGCCCAGCCCTCAGTGACCCTGCACAGGGCTCTTCCTTCCAACCTTGTGCCTCAGTTTCCCCATGTGTGACACCCTGGCAGCAATCCCAATGTCCCACATGTCAGGAGGATAGACAGGGGCCCACTGCTGATAGTGGTGAGAACCAACACCCAGAGGTTGTGGGATGGCGGTGCCATGACAAGAACCAACTGGTCTGGAAAATTTCTACTAAGAGTCCTAAAGCTCTTGGCTGAGGCCACCTGCCACTACATGGGGACCCATGGAAGGGCTCCAGCCCTGGGGAAGGGCTGGATCTGACCCAGATCTCCCCTAGAAACACATCTCAGCCCCAGCTGGCCTTGGCATGGCCCAACACCACCCCAGCAAACATGACGGGCTGAGTGAGAGACCCCCAGGGTGGTCCCTGGGTGTTGCAGCCTGCTGGGGGACAAGGACAAGGCAGTGACAAGGCAGGGCCCAGGCAGGCTCCAGCCCCTCCCCCAGCCCAGGCTGTACCGCAGCAGCGCTCCCAGCAGCCTGGTGACATTGTCCGAGGACTGGATGACGATGACGGGCTTGGCGAGCAGCTGGGACACGTCCAGCTGCAGCGGGAGGGAAGCGGAGCGGTCAGCGGGGCACGGCTCCCGCCCGGCCCCGCTGCCGGCACTGCCCTACCTCACGGATGGCGTTCTGGTTCAGCGCCAGGATGAGCAGGGCAGAGGCCCCCAGCACCAGGGCTCGCTTCATCTGCAGGGACAGTGGGGACACGATCAGGGGACAGCAGGGCTGTGTCCCTGACAAGCTCCTGTCCTGCTGCAGGAAGCACCCAGCACCTCTCTGCCACGGTGAAGGGTCAGAAGGGACCCAAGAGGGGTCAGAAGCTGTCAAGAGATCCCTTGGCCACTAAGCACAGCCCAGGAACCCTCAGCTCTGGCCAGGAAACACTGAAGGTAACACCCCTGTGGGTTTGTGACCTGCAAACACCACAGCAGCCCTCAGGCCAGGCAGGTGACAGGGCCAGGCAGAGGAGACAGGGTCACACAGAGGGTCACCTTGGTGACAACAGCGGTGGTGAAGGACTCCTCCTTGGCACCCCGGGGGCCCTCAGCCGGCTCCTCGGTGCCCACGGGCACCACCCCGATCCAGCTGTCAGCAGCGCTCAGCTCCGGCTCCACATCACCCACCTGGAGACATGGCAAGGACAGGGAGAGCTGGGATGGACCCCAAGGTTCAGGGCACCCCCAAGGCACCTCCATGGCCCAGGGATCCTGAGGAGTCGGGCACAGTGTGGGGACAGGGACAGCAGCTGGGGTAACACAGGGAAAACGGCCTGGCCCGTACTGCCTCCGTGCCCCTGCCTGCACCTCCTCTGTGCTGCTGGCCACACCCGAGCAGTGGCTGCCTGCCCTGGTCAGTCCCCCAGTGTCTGTGGCCTCCCCACCAATCCTCCAGTGCCTCCCAGTGCCCTTCAGCTCCCACTCCTCCCCTGCCTCATTCCTTTCCCAGTGCCCGAGGACTCACCCCAGCACCCACTGGCCCACAGTGCCCCCCTCCCTCCCACTGACCACTGCCCTGCCAATGTCCCCATGTCTCTTAATGTCTCCCAGTTGCCACTGCTTCCCCCTCATCATTGCCACCCAGCATCCACGTCCCCAGCCCGCACCCCTCAGTGTCACCCAGTGTCCCCCAGTCCCCACTGTCCCCCTCCCTCCCTTACTGCCCCCTGCCCCGCCAGTATCTCCCAGTGCCCTCCAGTTCCCAGTTCTCCCTCCCAATCCCTCGCCAGTGCCAACAGCACCCCCCAGCCCCGCTCGCCGTTTCCCCGCGCTCACCAGCACCAGGCGGCCTCGGATCTCCATCTCCTCCCGCTCCCCCCGCGGGCCCCCCCGGCCCGGCCCGGCCCGGCCGCCCCCCGCTCCCAGCACGGCCCCGCGCAGCGTGTACGAGCCGCCGGGCACCGCGGCCGCGCTGCCGGCCCCCCGAGCGCCAGCAGCGGGGCGAGCAGCGCCGCCCGCACCGCCGCCATGGCTGCGCGCCCCGCGCCCCGCAGCGCCCCCTGCCGCCGGGGAGGACCCGCCGCGCCACCCACCGCCCGCAGGGGGAGCCCGAGAGCCCGGCCCGGGACAGGGACAGGGGCAGGGATCGGGATCAGGATGGGGACTGGGACAGGGACAGGGACTGGGATCGGGATGGGGACTGGGACAGGGATCGGGACAGGGACAGGGACAGGGATCGGGATGGGGACCGCGACAGGGATCGGGACAAGGACAGGGACAGGGATCGGGATGGGGACTGGGACAGGGATCGGGACAAGGACAGGGACAGGGATCGGGATGGGGACAGGGATCGGGACAAGGACAGGGACAGGGATCGGGATGGGGACAGGGACAGGGATCGGGACAAGGACAGGGATCGGGATGGGGACTGGGACAGGGACAGGGATCGGGACAAGGGTCGGGATAACAATAGGGAGAGGGGATGGGGATGGGGGCGTCCCCAAGAGTTGGGATAAGGACAGGGACAGGAACGAGTGCTGGGACAGGGACAGGTATAGCGGCCAGGGAGATGGAGATGGGGATGCAGACCAGGATGAGGACAGAAAGTAGGAGAGGTACAGTGACAGGGAGCAGGGACCAAGACTGAGACAGGGACAAGGACCATGACCAAGCTGGACACTTGGACAGAGCAGGGACAAAGAAGGTGATGGGGACAGGGACCAGGATGGGGACCAGGAAGAGAACAGACACCAGGAGAGGAATAGGGACGGGGAATGGGGACCAGGATGGAGATCTAAACACAGACAAGGGCTGACACTGGGCTGGGAACCAGCACTGGGACAGGGATGGGGCAGGGACAAGGACAAGGATGATACAGGAATGGGAACAGAAGCAGGAACCAGGTGGAAAACAGGAATAAGGAGAGGCACTGGAAGAACAACAGGAAGTGGGAGCAGCATGGGGACAAAGCCAGGACCAGGACGGGGACAGGGAGAGGGACCAGGAGGAGGAGGGAATCAGGAAAGAAAGAGGGGCAGGGACTGGGAGTGGGAGCAGGACAGAGACAAGCACTGGGACTGGAATGGGAACCGGCAGGAACAGCAGGACTCAGGGACCAGAAAACCAACTGTCACCAGGAGAGTGACAGGGACAGGAACAGGCATGGGGACACAGATATCCACATCCCCGTGTGTGGATACAGGGACACATGGGGACACAGGGACACGTGTGCTCTGGGGGAACAGGGACATGGGCACCCACAGCCATGGCACAGGCAGGGACATGGGCACACCCCCACCCCAAGGTGACATGGGCACCCCTGGGTGACACGGACACACATCAACACCAGAGTACCCAAAACACAGCTGCCCCTTGCACCAGAAATCCCTCAAACCCCAGCCTGGGGGTGCCCAGCAGTGTCCAGTGCCACATCCTGACCCCCAGGTGCCCCATTCCGACCTCTGGGTGCCACATCCTGGCCCTGCTCCGGCCACGTGTGCCCAGCACATGTGCCTCCAGGGGATTTGCCGGCTGGATTAGCTGTGGCATGGGCCCAGGCTGAGCTGCTTTTGGCAGGGACCACGCCAGGAACGGGACTCGGGGCTGTGGGACCCGATTCCCGTGGCTGCAGGGTGCCATGGGATGGGTCTGGTTGTGTCCCGGTGTCCCTCATGTCCCCATCCATGTTTTAAGCGCGGGGGTGTAATCACAGGGAGGGCACATCCCTCCTCCCACGGCCGCAGCCGGAGCCGGTTTAACCACACGGCGAAACGTCCCGATTGCAACGGGTCTGGCTGTGCCATAAACAACAGCCGGGAGCACGGCTGGCTCAGGAACCTGCCTGGGATGGCGAGCACGGACGTGGGGGACTCTGTGGGTTCAGGGGAACACCAAAATGGGGCCTGGGGGGGCTGCTGCCAGAGCTGCCCCACGGAGGGGACACATAAGGGGTGTGAACGGCGCTGTGGAGCATCCACAGGTTTATGGGATTTGGGTGGCTTCGTGGACATCTGCAGCTCCAGGGGACACTTATGGGTCCACAGAACATGGACGGCTCCATGGGACATCTACAGGTCCCAGTCCCAAGGGACACACACAATTCCAGGGCACATAAATGGCTCCTTGGGACATGCACAGACAGGACACAGATGGCTCTGTGGGACATCCACAGCCCCCAGGGACATGTATGGTTTCATGGGATGTTTCCATGGGTTATCCATGGACATGTATAACTTCACAGGACACCCATGGGACACCCACATGGACATCTTCATGGGACAAATAGGGTTCCATAGGACATGCAGAGCTCTCTGGGACAACCATGTATCCATGGGGGACACAGGGCTCTGTGGGATGTCCATGGCTCCGTGGGACATCCATGGCTCCATGGGACACACACAGCCCTATGGGCATTCTGCTCCTTTATCCCCATCTTCCAGTCACTGCACCTGAGCCCTCAATCTGTCCCTGCCCCCATCTCCCATCCCTGTCCCTTCTACCTGGCACCCTGCCCCAGTCCCTGCCCCCTCCACTCTCACCTTGTCCCTGCTCCACTTTCAATCCCTGTCCCCACCTCCCATCCCTGTCACTGCCCTCATCGCTGTCCCCTCTCCCTGACAGCTGGTCCATATCACCATCTCCCACCCCATGGCCACATCTCCCTCCATACCCCAATGTCCTCCCACACTCCCTCTACCCCACTGTGTCCCCCAAACTCTCATAGGACCCCCCCCCTTTTGTACACTTCATAACACCCAGAGCCCCTTACACATCTCTCCCTTGCCCCCCCAAATCCCTGTTCCCCATGCCCCCCAAGGCCTCCTATGCCCCCATTCCCCTTGTTCCCCATATTCACCATGCACTCCTACTTCACATGTCCCCTATAATCCCCAAGTCCCTCATGCCCCCAAGGCCCTCCATGCCTCCATACCTCCAGTAGACCCATAATCCCCATACCCCCTCAGCCTCCTCATGCCCCCATATTCCCCAAACCCTCCCAAATCCTCCATACCCTCCCATAACACTTGTAGCCCCCACAGTCCCCTACAGTCCCCAAGCCGCCCTGTCCCTCCTCATGCCCTCATACCCTATAGCCCCCATACCCCTGCAGCCCTCCATTTCCCACCTGCTCCCCATGTCCCCATACCCCTCCATGCCCCCCATAACTCCCCAAGTTTCCCATATGCCCCACATCACTTACAGCCCCCACACCCCCCTACAGTCCCCAAGCCCGTCTGTGCCCCCATATCCCCCATCACCCCCCGCTCGCCCATCCCCGACCCCGGGGCGGCCGCGGGCGCTGACCGGGCGGGCAGGGGTCGGGCAGGGTCCAAGGCCGCGGGGGCGGGCGGGGGGCCGGGCCGGGCGGGCCGGGGGCGGTCCCGGGGAGGCGCTCGGAGCCTCCCCGGCCGCCGGGCCGGGCAGAGCCGCCCGCAGCGCACCATGAGCGGCCGCGTCGGGGACCTGAGCCCGCAGCAGGCGGAGGTGCTGGCCCAGGTGAGCAGGGACGGAGCGACCGGGGAGATGCGGGGGGACCGGGACCGGGGCCAGGGCCGGGCTGTCCTCCCCGATGTACGCCCGCGTCCGCCGCGGGACCGGCATCACCCCCACCCCGCACCCCAAACCCACCGGCAGCACTTCTGCTTCCGGCCCCGGGGGCTCCGCAGCCACCCACAGCTCCCCAAACCCACCGGCATCACCCTCGCCCCCGGCCCCGGGGGGCTCCCACCGCCTCCTCCAGCCCCACATCCCCCACTCCAAACCCACGGCATCACCCCCGCTCCGGCCTCCGGAAGGCTCCGCACCCCAAACCTACCGGCTTCACCCCGATTCTTGGCCCCAGGGACGTCCCATCGCCTTCAGACTCCACCCCGCCCCCCAAATCCGGCCCCGGGAGGCTCCCGCTGCCTCCATCCCTCATCCCGGACCCCAAACACACGGGCCGAGCCCCACTGTGGCGCTGTCCACCACGGCCGGACCGTCCTGGGGGTCCCGCTGGCTGGACCATCTCGCCGGTGGGCCCCCATCCCTCTCCCATCCTCCCCGGGACGCGGCAACCTCCTGCCTCACTGCAGGGCCCTTGGGACGGTGGTCTTCTGCCACCTCCATCCCACCCTGGACCCCAGTCCCACGGGCTGTGCCCCCGTGGTGCTGCCCACCAGGGAAGGACCATCCCGGCTGTCCCACCAGCCCGGGCTCCGCCGAGCCCCCTTTTCTTCTTCCACCCTTCCCATGGGACCGGAAAACTTCCTGCCCTCACCGCCGGGATTGCAGGCCCGGGGACACCCAGAACCGGTGATTGTCACCCACCACGGCCACCTCTGCCAGCCGCTCGTGTTTGGGTGCCAGCCGTTATCGGGGTTCAGTGCACCGCGAGGGCACCCCCGTGCCTTTATCTTATCGCTGCCTTTCAGACCCAGCCAAATTCCACGGGCGGGCGATGACCCCGCCGGTGCCAGCACGGGGGGCAGGGGCAGGCGTGGGGCACGGAGCCCAAACCGTGCCCGGTGCCAGCCGTGCCCTGGGCGGGTGAGGGAGGCAAGTGGCCGAACCCGTTCGTCCACCACCACCGGCTTTGTCCCAGGGTGAAGGAGCTAATCCCGGGTTTAATTACCCCTAAATTCAGCGGGAGATAAGCTAATCAGGCTCATTAAGGGAAGGGCCTCGGCTGGTACGGAGATTTGAGCCGTAGCCTAGTTGGGGTGAGTGAGACCACATGGAGAGGGGACCCTGGGTCCCCCAAACCTCCCAATGCTGCACCCCAACACCCTCCTGCCTGTGTTGGGAGGCTGTGACCCCCCTGGGGGACACAAACAGCGGGGGACACGGTGACCAGCTCCATCCCAAAGGATGCCACTGGTGGGGACTGGTCTGCTTGGTCCCCCCCAAATCCCCTAGTCCTGCACCCCAACGCTGTCCTGCTTGTGTCACAGGGCTGTGACCCACTGGAGTGTCACTGAAATGGGGACATGTGGTGATCTGCTGGTGACTGGTGTCATCCCAGGGATGCCAATGGCGGGGCCTGGTCTGCCTGGTGCCTGCAGGACCCTCTCTGAGGGGCCCCAGCTTTCCCAAGCCCCAGTCCTGCACCCTGGCACCCTCCTGCCTGTGCCAGGAGGGCTGTGGCCCACTGGGGGTCAGTGGAGCAGGGGTACACACAGTGGCAGCCTCCATCCATCCCAAAGGACACCCGTGGAGGGGACTGCTTCACCCAGTCCCTGTGGGACACCCCAGGAGGAGTGGGGTGGTGACAGCCCACACTCACACCTTATGCAAGGGCTTGGGGACAGCTTGTGCTGGGGGACACACAGTATGGCAGCCGGCCTGGGGACAGTCCCCTGCCAGGTGACCACTGATCCTGGCTGCACATGGGGCAGGGAGGGGGCACAGGGTGACCCTTCTCCCCTGGCAATGTCCCAGTCCTGGCTGGAGTGGTTTTGGGGGCACAAGGAAGGGACAAACCTCCAGGCTTGAGGATTTTGGGAGGATCAGGGACCCCTTCACCAACTGTCCCTCTTGTCTCCGCAGTTCCGGGAGAAGCTGCAGGACGTGCTGCCCTCCCTACCCTCCCAGGACGACTACTTCCTCCTGAAATGGCTCCGAGGTAACCCAAAGTGGGGACAGCGCTGGCGGGGGGAGCCCCCCTGGGGCTGGCAGGGGGCTGAGCTCTCTGCTCTCTTGCAGCACGCTCCTTCGACCTGCCCAAGGCAGAAGCGATGCTCCGCAAGGTGAGAGCGGCACCCAGCTTTTGGGGGCACCCTGCTGTGCTGGGACATACCTGGTGTGGGACCCCATGCCCTGGGCCACCAGCCCCAGCAAGGGGGACCCACCCACGGGGTTCACCCTGGCCCAAATCTCACCCTGGCTCACTCTGCTCCTGCTGCAGCACGTCGAGGTCCGCAAGCACATGGATGCCGACAACATCATCTCCTGGGAGCCACCTGAGGTGAGTGTCCCTGGCCTCCCGGGGTGGCCCTGGAGGGGACTGTCCCCCTGAGTCCCCTGGGGTGTGTGTGAGGTGCCCTGAAGCCCCGTGCTCCCACAGGTGATTCGGAAGTACATGTCCGGCGGGCTGTGCGGCTATGACCGGGAGGGCAACCCGGTGCGGTACGAGATCATCGGGCCGCTGGACGCCAAGGGGCTGCTCTTCTCCGCCTCCAAGCAGGACCTGATCAAGAACAAGTTCCGGGACTGTGAACTGCTCCGGCAAGCGTGTGACCAGCAGAGTGAAAAGGTGGGAACCTGCCCACACTCTGCTGGCCACAACCAGCCTGTGGGACCATGTCCCTGCCAGCTCCATGTGTCCATATCTGGTCTGCCCCTACCAGTCATCATCTTCCCCAGCCCTATAAGTCCCTGTCCTGTCCATTTCCCTCTGTCCGTGTCCCTGTCAGCCCCGTAAGTCCATGTCCATTCCCATAACTTAAAGTCCTCCCCAGCCCCCTATGTCTATCTCTGGTCCATCCCTACCAGATAATGTCTTTGACAGCCCTATATATCTTATAGGCCCATGTACTGTCCGTCCCCCTCAGCCTGTGTCCCTGCCAGCCCATGTCCTGTCCATCCCCACCACCCAATGTCCTCCCCAGCCCCATATGTCCATCTCTGGTCCATCTCTCCCAGCCAATGTCCTCACTCACCAGCCCTACAGGTCCACGTCCAGTTCATCTCCCTCAGCCCCACAAGTCCATGTCCTGTCCACCCCACCATGGACCATGTGCCTGCCAACCCCGTATGTCCATCTCTGGTTTATCCTCTCACCCCACAACTCCACATCCTGCCCATCCCCACCAGTCTATGTTCCCACTGTCCCTCAGCCCGTGTCCCTGTCCCAGCTTCCATGGTGCCCCTTCTCCCCACACCATCACTTAGGAGGAGGCTCTGGCTGGCATGACCAGCCTGTTGGGGCCACCCCATCCCTGGACCTCCCCATGGGTCCTTCCTTATCCCCCCCATCCTCCCGTCCCAGCTGGGCAAGAAGATTGAGATGGTGATGATGGTGTACGACTGTGAGGGCCTGGGCCTGAAGCACCTCTGGAAGCCAGCTGTGGACACATATGGGGAGGTGAGGGCTCCTGCCCACCCCCCTTCCCACTGGACCGCAGGGGTCTGGGCTGGTCCCTGGGATGATGCAGGAGCAGGTCCCTGCAGTGCCCTGCACTCCCCAGTGTTCTGGGTGGGTCCTGCTGGGTGCATGGCTTGGGTGACCTGAGCTCCCCCATCTGCAGATCCTGTCCATGTTCGAGGAGAATTACCCTGAGTCCCTCAAGCGCCTCTTTATTGTAAAGGGTGAGTTTGGCCCTGGGGTCCTGCTCCCCTTATCCAGGTGCTGATGCCCCCCTAACACCCCCCTCTGCCCCCAGCCCCCAAGCTCTTCCCCGTGGCCTACAACCTGGTCAAGCACTTCCTGAGCGAGGACACGCGCAAGAAGGTCGTGGTGCTGGGATGTGAGTCCTGACCCTCCCCAGGGTGTCCTAAAAGGGGGTGACATGTCCCCACTCTGCTGTCACCCTGCCCAGGGGGGATACTCCACCTTGCAGCCCCCCCAAACCCGCTGTCCTCCCCCCCAGCCAACTGGAAGGAGGTCCTGCAGAAGTACATCGACCCCGCGCAGATCCCGGTGGAGTACGGGGGGACGCTGGTGGACCCTGACGGGGACCCCAAGTGCTCCAGCAAGGTAGGAGGAGACCCCGTGGGGTTCTTTAGGGGTGCTGGGCAGTTCCTCCACCCCCACATCCTCCATCCCTTCCAGATAAACTACGGGGGGGATGTGCCCCACCATTACTACGTGCGGGACCAGCTGGCACAGAAGTACGAGCACTCGGTCGTGGTCAACCGGGGCTCGTCCCACCAGGTCGAGTACGAGATCCTCTTCCCTGGCTGCGTCCTCAGGTGAGGGCGGCTGCGGGCCGCGGGGAGCGGGTGACAGCCGCCGTGTCCCCAGCCCGCCGCAGCACCGCCCCTGTGCCCTGCAGGTGGCAGTTCCGCTCCGAGGGCGCTGACATCGGCTTCGGGGTGTACCTCAAGACCAAGGTCGGGGAGCGGCAGCGGGCGGGCGACATGACCGAGGTGCTCCCCAACCAGCGCTACAACGCACACATGGTGCCCGAGGACGGCTCCCTCACCTGCTCCACGCCCGGCATTTGTGAGTGCCGAGCCCTCCCCGGGGGCTGCGGGACCCCCGTGTCCCTGACCCACCGTGTCCCTGACCCCCCTGTCCCCCCGCAGATGTCCTGCGCTTCGACAACACCTACAGCTTCCTCCACTCCAAGAAGGTGAGCTACAGCGTGGAGGTGCTGCTGCCCGACACCGCCTCGGCCCAGCAGATCCAGGGAGAGTCCCCCAACCACAGCCCCTGAGCCCCCCGGGCTGCACCGCGCCCCCAGGACGGCCCCGCGGGAAGATGGAGCCGGGGCTGAGCCCCGGGGCTGCCGGACTGAGGCGGGGCCGGACGGGGCCGAGCGCCCGCAGCCCCCCGAACTCTGTGCCTTACGTGGGTGCCGCACCCACCGCTGCTGCTGCCTGGGCTGGGGAGTAAAGGGATGGACTGAGTGGGGTCTGCTCCGGTTCGTGGCTGTCCCTGCTGCCCGCCTCAACCCTGCAGCCAGCCCAGCTGCCCCCAGCCCCCGAACTGCCCCCAGCCCCGCAACTGCCCCTCAGACTCACAACTGCTCCCCCCAGACCCACAATTACCCACCCAGCCCCAGAACCGACCCTAGTACCACAACAGCCCCAGCTGCCCCCAGCCACATAACTGCCCCCAGTCCCACAATTTCTCCCCAGCCCCACAACTGCCCCCCAGCCCAACTGCCCCTCCGGACCCCTAGCTGCCCCCCAGCCCCGTAACTGCCCCCCAGCCCCACAACTGCCCCCCCAGACCCAACCCCGCCCCCGTGACCGCCGCTGACGCAAGGCCGCGGGGTCACGTGCGTGGCCAGGCCACGCCCCGGCCGCCATCCCGCGTCCCCGAGGGGCGGGGTCATGCAAATCAGGTTCGAGTGGGCGTGGTTTAGTGGCGTAGCGCCGGGGGCGGGGCATGCGGCGGGAGCGGTGGCGCGCGCCATGGGGCCGGAGGAGCCCGACCTGTACCGGGACACGTGGGTCCGATACCTGGGTGAGCACCGGGAGCCGGGCACCGGGCACCGCACTGAGCGCTGGCACCGGGAACCGGGCGCTGACACCGAGCACTGACACCGGGAAGCGGGTACCGGCAGCGGGCACTGACATTGAGCGCTGACACCGGGAAGCGGGCACTGACATTGAGTGCAGAGCACTGACACAGGGTACCGGCGCCGGGAGCTATGGGAGCGCCGGGAACCGGGCACTGACACCGGGTACCGGGTACTGACACGGGAAACCGGGTACCAGCATCGGGCACTGAGACGGGGACCTGGGCATTGACATTGGGTATCGGCTGCGCAAACGGGGCAGTGCTACCGGGCACCGGCCCCTGTCACAGGGTACCAACACCGGGGACTGGGCATTGACTCACCAGACACTGGCACCGGGTACCAACATCAGGCACGACACCATTAACCAGGCACTGACACCCGGCCCTGCTTTAGGAAAGTGGCACCAGACACTGCGTCAGGTACCGGGCACCACACACTGCACTGGCCTGGGTACTGGGCACCACACCTGGTACCGGGCACTGACACCCAGCACTGGTACCACAGAGTGCGCTGGGTCCATGGTACCGGGCACTGACACCCAGCACTGGTACCACAGAGTGCGCTGGGTCCATGGTACCGGGCACTGACACCCAGCACCAAGTACTGCACACTGCACCAGGCACTGATACAGGTTCTGGTACCAGATATCAGCACCACACAGCAGGCCCTGGCACCATGCACTGGCATGGCACAGCACACAGGGTGACAGCACTGCACGGCAGCACCAGGTACCTGTCACTGTCACCAGCACTGGCTAGTGGCATCATCCACCAGTGCTGTGCACGGACACTGGGCACCAGGACCAGTTACTGGCTCCTGCCAGGCACTGGGCACAGACACAGAGCCCAGAGGTGGGCACTGTCACTAGCACTGGGCACAGACACAGAGCCCAGAGGTGGGCACTGTCACTAGCACTGGGCAGTCACAGACAGCAGCCCTGGCAGCGGTCACTGCCAGCCCAGCTGCGCTGGTGGCAGTGGGTCCAAGAAGACACAGACACTCCAAACACCCCCTGTGTGACATCCATCCAGTGACACTGGGACACCCTGCAGGGGTGACACTGGGACACCCTGCAGGGGTGACACGGGGACAGTCGGTCCCTGACCCTACCATCCCCTCAGGTTACGCCAACGAGGTGGGCGAGTCCTTCCGCCCGCTGGTGCCAGTGCCGGTGGTGTGGGCCAGCTATGGCGTGGCCACCGCCTACGTGACCGCCGACGCCATCGACAAGGGTCGGAAAGCCGCCGCCGTGAGTGCCACCCCCCTCACCCCGCAGCCTCTCCATCCCTGCCCTTCCACTGACCCCTGTGTCCCCCCCAGGCCCATTCACAGGACCCCACACGTGTGGGGGTGGCTGTGGTGGACACCTTTGTGTGGCAGAGCCTGGCCTCAGTGGCCATCCCCGGCTTCACCATCAACCGGCTCTGCGCCGCCTCGCTGGCCCTACTGGGGGCCCTGACCCGCTGGCCCCTGCCCGTGCGCCGCTGGACCACCACTGCGCTGGGGCTGGCTGCCATCCCTCTCATCATCACCCCCATCGACAGGTAACGGGGACACCCCTGGGGTGGGGGACAGGCAGCTGCCACCACCCCATCCCCACAGCCCAGAGCGATGGAGCACATTTGTCTCCTTGGAGACTGGTCCCAGTATGGGCTTGGAGCTGGGAGCAGAGGGTGGTGACAGGATGTCTCCACTCCAAAGGAGCTTTGCTTTTAAGGACATGTCCCTGCCAGGACAGGGATTATCCGGAGCTGAGCCGGGATTAGCACAGTGAGGCTGTGCTAAACCTGGTTTTGGTGGCGCTGGTGTCTCAGGGGATATTAAGGACAGCCCCACCTATCCCACATCACATCCACTGCCCCAGAGCCCCCCGGGGCCCCGCTGACGCCCTCTCCTGCCGCAGGACTGTGGATTTCCTGATGGATTCCAGCCTCCGCAAGCTTTACAGGACACCAGGAGAGCCCCCGACGTCCCACTGAGCACCACCCTCTGCACTCTGGGGAAACTGAGGCATGCTGCTGTGACCCACCTACTGTGACCCCTCACTCTGGTGACTCCCAGAGTGGCCACCCTGCCCCACACTGGTCCTAATAAACCATTTCAAACATGACCCCCGATGGGTGATGCTGAGGTGCCACCAGAGCCAGGCCATGTCCTCTCCTGGTGGACTCATGGGTCTGGGTGAGTCCCAATCCCTCAGGGGTCTCCACTTGGGAGAGGGGGTCTCTGCCTGCCCAGAGCAGCCCTGCTGTCCCCACCCTGGATCCTGTCCATCTCCACAGCCTCATGGGACATCCTGGGGGCTGTCCCTAAGGAACTGCCACCATGTCCATGGTTTCTAAGGACACAAAATCCACCCAGCCAGGAGGCACCATCTCCAGCACCGCAGGCTGGGACAGTGCCACACCACCTGGAAGCCACAGGAACCCGGAGGAACCTTGGAGATGTGGCTTGCCAGCGTAGGGGCACACCTCCATCCCTTGGTGGCATCCACACGCTACCAACCAGGAGAAGCTTTAGAGAAAGCAAAACCACATTTATTGGTGAGAAGGAGGCTCTGGTCCCATCTGGCCCTGTTTCTCTGTCTCCCTGAGGACCAGGGCCCCCACCACGCTCTGCAGCTCAGCCTGGAAGGGACACCTCTGCCTCGGTGGCCGCTGTCCCCACCAGGCTCTGCCCAGGCGCCAGGTGGTCAGGGCCAGCCCCAGCAGCCCCCCCAGCACGGTGACCACCAGCACAGCACTGCCCACCAGGGCCAGCAGGAACCTCCTCCCCGTCCGGCACGGTGCCGGGAATGGCAAAAACACACCTGGGGGTCAGAGGGGGATTCAGCACAAGGAGTGGGGGTTTTGGGGACATGGGGGCGGGTTGGGGTGTCCCTCACCTTCATACCACGGCAGCTTCCCCTTCTGCACCAGCACTGGTCCGACTGTCTGCCGGTGGAGTGTCCCCTCTCCTGGGAATGCTGTGGGAGGATATGTCCAGTGCAGTCCAGCCCAGGTCCAGGAGCCCTCCCAAGACCCCAAAACAACCTGGGGCCACCCTATCCCACCCCTGGTACCTGGCCTATCTCCATGGAGAGTATCAGCAGCGGGACAACCGGTGTCACAGCAGTGGTATGGGGTACTCTGGACAGGGTCCTCTGCATTGTGCCAGCTGGGAGAGGAGAGGACAGAACTGGGGAGGGTGGCTCTAGGGGTCCCCAGACTCCACCACAAGACCCACATGGTGCCACCCCAGAGGAGATGTCTCCAAGCACCTCCACAACACCTCTACAGCATGGGGGAGCTGGGACCTGTGGCGATGCCACCAGCTGCCATCGAATAAGAGGCAACATCCAGACCACAGTGGGGTGACTTGGTCTTCCTAGAGGTGGGTTCTGCCCCCAGCACACCCATGAGGTGCTCGTGTCCCCAAACACCCAGCATACCTGGCTGAAGAAGCTGTAGAAGCAGGACCTGGTGGCACGTCCTTGTCCCCATGCCATCAACAGGCAGTGCACATAGACCTGCTGAGACACCACATCCTTCCTCAGGGACCCTGCTCTCCTTCCACACCTCGTGGAGCTGAGGCCACCCTAGCAGGAGCACTGTGTCTCAGGACAGCCATGTTTTGGGACACCCAGATCATCCCCTCCCTGGGACCTTCATCCCACCACCAAGGGCTTCATCCCCACCTCACCTGCTCTTCCTCAGGCTCACCCTCCAGTGTGGGGGCCAGGATGGAGAGCTGGAGGACAGACCCCCCTCTCTGGTGCTGGACAGACACATTCCCCACCTTCTCCCCGTGCAGGCACCTGTGGCAGGAGAGTGACACAGGACATTCCAGGGCTGTCTCCAGGCTCTGGACATCCCTTTCCATCAGGAGGTCCTGCAGGACCCCAGGGTGGCTGGAGAAGGAGCCCCTACTTCCTGCCCCACCAGCACTGACCCACGGCTGTTCACCACCATGAAGATCCTCCTGGACTGTTCTGGCTGCTCCGAGACGGTCCAGTAGCACTGATCCATGTGGATCTTCATGGAGATGCTGGGACTGAAGTGGACACTGGCTTCCAGGTGGATCATAGAGCCAGGGCTGAGCACTGGCAGCTTCTCTGGAGCGGCACTGGAGTCCTCTGAGAAGTGTGAGTTCAGTGTGACACCCCCTAACCTATCCCACCAGAGATGAGGGCACCAGACCCATCCCAGACCACCACCCCTACAGCTTCCCCCTTTCAGAGCCCACCCCCAATCCTGGCTGTCGCCCAGGCCTGCTTTCCCTGCTCTACAGAGCTTCCTGGATCCCCCCATGGAGCTGAGAGGGACCATGTCACCCATCGGGGCAGAGCTGACCCCCAAACCCCGTTGTGGTATCAGGCACAGGACTGCGAACACCTCAAAGCCCTACACCCTCCACAAGGACAGGGGGGAGTTCCTGCAGGGAAGGCCACCTTTCCTGGTGGTCCAAGTCCTGGCACCAGCCAGGAGAAGGCACTGACTGCTGCTGGCTGAGCCCAAGGGTCTCGGCTGGGCCCATCCCATGGTCTCACCCCCAGCGCGTTCCTGCAGCACCCCCAGAGCACTCACCATCCAGGAGCCTCAGGGTGAAGTTCATGATGGGCTCCTCAGAGCAGGGGTGAGCAGGAACCCTCCCTGTCCCCATGCCTGAGGACATCACTGGAGCTGTCACCATGTGACCAGGGGGCTCTGAGGCAACTGGAGCCATGGTGGTCCCTGCAAGGGGAGGGCTGAGCCAGCAGTAGCATGTCCCGGACACAGCAGGGACATCCAGGTCTTCAGGTGTCCCCAGGACTTGTGGGGGACAGGTGGCAGTAGCACAAAGGCAGGGAGAGCACCCAGGAGCACATCAGGGCTCCTCTGTCCCCAGTCCCACCCCAGCAGGAGCCCACCTGCACTACAGGAATACACCAGGAGCATTCCCAGCACCGTCACCCTGCCCAGGCTGGGGACAGACCAGGAGCTGCTCATGCGGTGGGACACCACTGTCAGCAGCCACAGACCCCACCAGTGCCTCTGATCCCCCTCACCCCAGCCAGGACCCACCAGCCCTGCTGGGACCTCAGGGGAGCTCCAGGCAGCCCCTTACCCCAACCCCCAGAGCTTGGGATCATTTTAGCAAGGCTCCTCTACCCCAGGCCAGCCCCCAGGTGACCATCAGGAACCAGCACTGGGCACGCACCACCCACCTCCCCCAGGACAACCAGTGGGAGGAATGAAGGGGGATCCCAGCTGCCCTCACCTGCCACCTCCAGCACAGCCCCACACACCAGCACCACCAAGCACAGCTCCATCCCTGGTGAGCAGCATCCCCACTGCACCAGCTGGGGGTCTTTAAGGACTTGGGGCTGGGTACCAATGGGTCCCAGGTGGCACTGATGGGGTTGGGGGCTTTCTTGGTCTCTGCAGCCATTGGCAGCCCCACACCTGGGGCTGGTCCCACCCCTCACACCTTCCCAGTCCCACCACGAGAGCCTGTGCCCATCTTCCAGTCCCCATTCCATGCCACAGCCCCAGTGCCACCACTCAGACTGGTCCTGCAGGTGGTCCTGAGCATGATCCCACACCCACCTGTTAGTCCTGGTCCCATACGCACCAACCAGTCCTGTTCCCAGGTGTGATGCTGGGCCTCCCATGCCATTGTTGTGGTCCTGGTCCACAGGAAGGTGCAGATCCCACCACAAGGTCCCATCCCCACCAGTCAGTCCTGGTCCTGTGCATGGTGCTGCTCCCACCATGTCCTTTTACTCCTGCACCTGGTCCTGATCCAACCAGTTTACCTGATCCCAGTTCACCACATGGCCCGGTCCCATCACTCAGCCCTGGTCCCACCTCAAGGTTCTTAAGCCCACCCCAATTTTGACCCCACCATTGTCAGGATCCCATGGCTGATCCTGGTCACACCAGAGAGTCCCAGTCCCCAGCACCCCTCCTTGTCCCATCACAGCTCTGCTTCCAGCTCTGCTGGAGAGGAACACCACCTGGGAGCAGCAGCTTGGTCACAGCCAGGTCAGAGACCTGGTGAAGTGCTCATGTCCCTGGGTCCTGCCTGTCTCAGGTGCCCCCATCACAGCCCCAACACCCCACCACAGGCTCCTCTGAGTGGGCTGACCTGGTGGCCTAGCTGCAGAGGGAGCTTGGAGAAGACCCAATGCAAGTCCCGTGGCCACCCTGAAAGGGGGTGCTCCCCACCAGCAGCAGAGCTGGAAGATGGTGGCACGAGTGGCTTGTGTCACCAGTGATGACTGGTCCCATGGCTCTGTCATCTCTGTGAAGCCAGCAAACCTTCCTGGGGGCACCTGCACACAATGGGGATGTCCCCCAGCACGCAGCAGGGACACTGGGGACAGACCCAGGCACCCCACTCGCACTGAGGGTCTCATTCCTCAGCACTGCCTGGGGGATACGGGGCTCCCCACCCCCAGGACTGATGGGGACAGTGGTGCCAGGACCCTGGGGAGCTCCCAGAAGGAGCAGGGACTGGCTGAGCATCCTGCTGTGGCTGTAAGAACATTCTCACCTCATTCATCCCATCCTGGAGAAGGAGGAGATGGCTGGAGACCAGCTGGACCATCCTTATATCCAAAACTACCAAATATACAATTATATTACAAAAGTAAATTGTTCTTTTATTTCTGGTCTTTACAGAAGGAGCTCAACACAGGTGGGAGGACAAGGGGGTCCCTTTGCTGGGGGGGGTGGCTCAGCCACAGGTGCCACCTCTGTGCCCAGCCAGGGCTACTCTCAGTGGGACATGGCGTCACCGGTGTCATCCAGCCCAGCTGGGACGCATGAGGTTTGTCCCCAAGGCAGGGTGGGGACTGGGGACGGCCCCTGCCCTCAGCATCCCCACCGTGCCCCGCATGGCATCACGGGGACAGTCCCACTGCATCTGCTCCCATCTCCTCCCCACACCAGCTGTCACCAGACCCTGTTGGCCTTTTGGGATGTCCCCTGTGGGGACCAGGGCCACGGGCTCCTCTAACTGGGATGATGGGGGGCAGTGAGGGTGTGCCCTTTGCCACAGGACCTGTTGATAAAGTCTGGGGCTTTTGGGATGGGTTTTCCAATCTCCAAATGGCTCCAGGTGCCTCTAGGTCACAGCCTAGCTGATGGTGGGCTGAGAACATGCTGCACTCATCACAAACAAGGGCTGAGGCAGTGCAGCAGGTTCTGACAGTCCCACACTCCAAAACCAGGGCTTGGTGGGGTGATTTGAGGAGCTCCTGGAGGGTTGGGCTCCCTGTGGGCATCTCTGCCCACCCCGGGCAAGGGAGACCCTCTACCACTGCTGTCCCAACACATCCCTGCCTGCACCCAGCAACCTGGTGATGGATGTCCTGCTCCTGCTGTGACGAGGCCACATCCTTCATAAATCCCTCCTCCAGCTTTTCCTTTTTGGGGAAGGAAGAAGTGGATCCTGCAGGAAAACACCACCCCTGGAGCCCCAGTCCTTGACCCTGCTGACAGAGACAGAGTCTCCGCTCTCCTGCCCAAGCTGGGGTTCTGCAGGAAGGTGACGGAGGGTCCCCCCAAAAGTTCCTGGCCTCCAGAGCCTCCAGCCAGTTCCAAACCAAGAGAACCATGAGTAACAAAAACGAAAGCACCTGGTTCTTCCCCAGGGAAGCGGGGCACCTGCCAGCCCCTACCACTTGAGGAAGTCCCGCACGTAGCTCCATAGCTTGGTGATCCAGAGGTTGGCCCCCAGGTCAGTCAGGTACTGGATTTCGGGCGTCAGCATCTTGCGGCACAGCTTCTGGTGCTTCTTGCTGATCTTCTTCTTCAAGTTGTACCCCAGGATGGTCTTCTCCCCCAGGGGCTGCCAGGGCTGCATGGAGGACTCCTGGATGGCGCTGGCATCCACAGCATGTCCCCCGTCGATGCAGATGCTGGTCATCTTCTTGTTCTCCCTCTGCAGCTCGGCCACATCCCTGGCCATCCTCTCCCTCCCGTAGGCCTCCACCTTGCGCCAAAAGGTGGCATTGAAGTAGCGGTAGAGCTTGGCGTCGATGAGGTTCCAGGCGGTCGCCTGCTCGTACAGCTCAGGGGTCAACCGGGACACAGTGGAGCCCTTGCGGGCGTTGAGCTTGAAGTAGAGGACGTCCTCCAGCTGCCAACACAGCAGGTCCTTGAGCAGCACCAGCGACTCATCAAAGTACTCGAGCAACATGACGAGGTGGAAGCGGCGGTCGATCTCCTGGATGTGCTCCTCCACCAGCGGGCTGTTGGCATCCATGCTGCTGTCGTAGCCAAAGTCGAAGAACAGGAGGTTTTGGAGGTAGTGAGCGTTGAACCCATTGGGGTCATAGTAGTGCTGGGGATCCCGGAGGAACTCGTCCAGCTTATCCTCCCCCGTGATCTTCCAGGTGAGGGGGATGACGGGCCCAAAGTAGTGGAAGGAGGACTCGAAGAGGTATGCGGGGTCCCGCAGCACCGTCACGAAGGTGGTGTCGGGCGGCAGGAGCTTGCGCACCTCCTCGTAGTGGAAGCGCATGTGGTTGCAGATGATGTTGAAGCACACCCCGGGCCGGTAGTGCTGCACCTGGCTGCGCTCGAAGAAGGACGGGTAGTAGAAGTCGTTGCGGCCATTGGGGAAGGCGAATTTCAGGCGATGCTTCTCCCCAAAGCGGAAGAGGATGTTGAGAATGGTGCTGCTGGCGGTCTTGTGGGTCTTCATGAACATGACATTGAGCTTGGGTCGGCAGCTCCACCCCGAGGCACTGCCCGTGCCGTTGGATGGGGATGGAGCCTGGGCAGGGGACAGGTGGGAGGAGCAGGAGAAGGGGACAGGGATCCTGGGTGAGAGAAGAGGTGAAGCACCATGGTGAGTGGCACTGGCATTTTGAAGGCTTAGGAATAGTCTGTGCTGGTGGAGATGGATCTGGGGAGGGGTTCTGGACCTGGGAATAGGTGCTGGACCTTGGGAATATATGCTGAACCTGGGAATGGGTGTTGGACCTGGGGACAGGTGCTGGACCTGGGAATGGGTTCTGGAAATGGAAATAGAGCAGGGGGTCTCCATTGGCATGGCCATGGTGGTCCTGGTGGAGGTGATGCCAAAAAGTGCATTAAGGGGAGCTCTCCATGGCCACAACTCCAGGGAGAGGAGCTGATAACATTTTTATGGGGTATGAGAACCCTTAACCCTTTGTAGGATCTATGGAGGAGGCTTTGGAGCTCTCAACCCTTTGTAGGATCCATGGAGGAAGCCAGGGACCTCTCAACCCCTTACAGGAGTCATGAACTCCTCACGGAGTCATGAACTCCTCCATGGAGGAGGTCTGGGATCTCTCAACCTTTACAGGAGTCACAAACCCCTCAAGGGATCTGTGGAGGTCTGGGACCTCTCAGCACTTTGTGGGATCCAAGAAAGATCCAGCAAAGTGGGAAATAATTCCAGAGCCTGGCACCACAGATGAGTTCATGGGCCCTGGAGGAACACGTGAGGACAAGGAACGTTATCTGAGCTGCCTGAGGCAGCGAGCAGAGCCCACAGTCGAGTGACTTTGGACACCTGTAATGAACTCGCCAAACTGATCCTTGATAATCCCCACCCAACAGCACCAGGTTTGTGAGGCACGCGGACTTTGTTTACAAGCTTGGAGATTAATTTGATGACAGGTGGCATGACCGGGAGCTGAGTGCTGTGGAGCTCCTGCAGTGAAAGGACTCAAGACTTGAGTCCTCTCCTCTCCCTCTCCCTCTCCCTCTCCCTCTCCCTCTCCTTCTCCTCTCCTCTTTCCACCCAGGAGCACTGAGTGCCCCACAGTGTCCCCAGCCCTGCCAGGAGTTGGGGGCCATTGTGGGATAGGGTGCAGCCTCCAGCAGGAAGGGGACACCTTGGTGTGAAGCCACCAGGGTCTGGAAAGCCCCAGGGCCATCTCCATGTCCCCCACCTCCAGCTGGGGGTTCCTGGTGTGGAACAGGGAGGCCGAACTGCAGGGGGGACATGCAGGGACCCCAGACTCACTCAGTGACGCTGACTTGCAGCGGAGGGACGGCGTAGGAGTAGAGCAGCAACATGAAGCTGGTCAGGAGGGTCCCCAGTACCAGCCCCTTGCACATGGACCTCCAGGGCTTCCCATGCCACAGCATCCTGGTCACCTGCAGCCAGAGAGGAGAGATGTTGGTGCCAGGGACACGGGGACTGGGGTGTGTGTGGCTCCAACAAAGCACGTGGACATGTCACAGGCATGGCAATTCCCTGGCAAGCATCCCACTGGTGCCCGGCGTGATCCACGGCAGATCTGTGGCCCAGGCCCAGTGGCTCTGCCCGCCCAGCCAACCTTTGCCCGCCCTGGGAAAACTGAGTGACTCCCAGGGCGGGAGAGGCTGCAGGGCTGGGCTTGGGGGAAAGGGGAGCCAGGGACAGAGCCCAGGGGCAGAGTGGACAACTGAGGGACAGAGTGGCCATTCTCCAGTGGGACACCACCAGCACCGGCAGGAGCTCCCTGAGGGTGCTGGGATCCATTTTCCCAGGAAAATCTGCAGGCCGGAGCAGGAGCTGCAGCAGCTCGGGATGGTTTGGGTGCTGCAATACCCTCCCAGTGCGGCCTCTCTGGCCCTGCCAGCAGCACTGGGGGGCTCAGGGGGCCCCTCTGGCCGTGGCAGCTCGGGCTGGCCCAGGGTGGAGGCCAGGGACACGGAATTGGGGACAGAGGGGTGCAGGCCCCCAAACACACAAAACACATGCACACACAGCGGCACACACAGACACTGCCATCCCCTGGTGTGTTCGTGTGTGCACCATGACACACACCCCTCAATGCGTGTTCACACACACACAGGTGCACACACAAAATGTGCACACGCACCAGCTGTGTTTGCACACACACACGTGCACACACAGACACACACACACAAACACGCTCACAGAGCCCCTGTGCCCGCTGCCCCCTCCCCAGCACTCCCCCCGTGGTCCCCATCCCTGTCCCCTCCCTCCCTCCGCCCGGGACGCGGCGGTCACCCTCACTGTGACACCGCATTGCAGCAGGGCCGTCCCCTGCGGCAGGACACGGGGACACGGGGACACGGGGACACGGGGACACGGCATCCGTGACCGCAGCCCTCCACAGCAGAGCTCCGCGCCCGGGAGCCCCCCGCGCTGGGGGCTGAGCCCCCCCGGCCCCGCACCGCCATTTAGCGGCGGGATCAGCATCACCTGCCTGCCCCCGCTCCCGCGGCTCCACATCCTCCGGAACCCCTCCGCCAAGGCTGGCTGCGCTCCCACTGAGTAACACCCCCAAAAATACCCCCCCGCCTCAGAGCTCCCGCGGGTGTCCCGGCGGGATGAAATCCCGCTGCCATGAGCCGTGGATCACAGCCCGGCACATCCCACCCCCATCCCCCGGGCAGAGCCCCCCGGCTCCCCCCCAGCACCGCGGTTACCGCCGCCCGGCGATCCCGGGGTGCCGCTGCTGCCGCCGCTCCCCCGCTCCGGCCCCCCCGGGTCGGATCGCCTCGCGCTGCCGAGATTTCCAGCTCAATGAATAATGAATGGAAATGCAACCGGAGCCCCGGGCTGCGGCCGGGTGCTGGGCACAGCGCCGCGGACAGAGGGGGAGCTGCGAGAGGGGCACCTGCGGCACCCGAAAAGCTCATCCAAGTGCCCCCCACTTCCCCTGGAGCCGGGACCGCTGGATCAGGCAGGGCTGGTGCATCCAGCCTCTTCCCGAGTGGTTTCCATGTGCGAGTGGGGGTGCACAGTGTCACCACGGGGGGAGCAAGTGGCCCTGACTGTATCCCAAAACCACCGTGTGGGTGGGAATGCCAGACGGCTCCAGGAGCAGCTGGAGTTCAGCTTTACACGGTGGCTGTGATTCCATCACAGTCACCACCTGGCACCACCTGGAAAAGCCACTGGCCCTTTGAGAGGGCTGCGGAGACACCCACTTTTGTGGGTGCTGCCAAGAGGGAGCAAAGCTGGCACCAACTCCACAGGAGTGAGTGAAATGGCACCATAAACCTCTCTGATGAGTCCCAATGGATCCCAGTGAGTCCAGATGGGTCCCAATGGATCCTGATAGATCCCTATGGGACCCCACCAGGCCCCCAGGACCACACAGCACCGAATTCCAGAACTCTGGGATGCCAAGGGGATGCCTCGCTCCACCCTGCCTGCCTCCCAGGGGTGGTTCTGGCAAACACTTCCCAGCCAAATATTCTATTGACTTTGCCTTCAGTGAGCAGCTTAATTATTAATAGCTCGTTAGGAGAAAGTGGTGCACTGGGTGTTCTCCTGGGGCTCCCACGGGTGGGGTGTGCCCGTGGCGCCAGCCGGCTGAGATGCCCAGTGAGAGAACACGGCTGCACCCACCATTCCCTCAAGAGGTACCCCCGGGCCAGGCCAGGCCACCAGCTCTGCAGCCCCATCTCCGTGTACCAGCAGCTCCCCATCTCCCTGGGGACACCCCGAAGTCTATTTTTGGGTTTTTCCTACAGCATCAATTGTTTTAGGGCCAAGCTCCTGCCATACACAAGGTGCATGCACCTGCTTGCTCCTGATCCCACAAATCCATGGACACTGTTTTCCACAGGCCACATCCCACACAGCATGCTGCTTCCTACCCCCCTGTCCCCTCTGTGCCCCATGGGACACACAATTCCTCCCATCATCCTGCCCCACAGAGCTGTTTCCTGAGCATCCCACTGCCCCCCCAGCATCCCAACACCCCCCCAGCATCCCACTGCCTCCCAACTGCAACCCAACAAACATCCTGCTGCCCCCTTCCCATCGTGCCACCCTCCAAGCACCCCCGCATCCCCAGTATCCATCACCTTTTCCTCTCCCGCAGCGCTGGCGCTGGGCCGTGCCTCTGCTCTCCTGTGCTGACCGGGGTGCCGGGGGAGCGGGCGGCACGGGGCGGGGGTGCCGATGCTGCTCCGACATGGAATAAGCTCTTCCCGGGCAGCTCCCCGCAAATGTCGGCTTTTCCAAAGCCTCCCCACTGTACCGCGGCGTTTATGGCATCACCGGGATCGCGGCCCTGGGTCGCCGGCCTGGGAAGGGGGAACGGGACAGGAGTGGGAGCGGCTGGCGGGGGGACGCGGGGCTGCGGCCGGGCACTGCCCGGCTCCCCGGGGCCGGCCCTGGGTGCCTGCGGCCACCCCAAGCCACCGGCCCCCACCCACTGCCGGGGCACAGAGGAGCCATTCAGCCCGCGCCGCGAACAACGGCGACATTTGTCTCCATCTGTGACCGCGGCCTCAACGGGGACATTGTCCCCGCGGGCCCCACTGCCGGCCCCTCGGCTCCCTGCCACCAGCCCGGCGTGGCCCCACAGCCCTGGGTGGCTATGGCTGCCCCTGGGCGGCGGCACCCACCTCTCGCCAGCCACCGTCCTCCTCCTCCTCGTCCCACAGGACAGCTCATGGCCTGGCCGTCACCTCCTGCAGCCGGAGCTCACCTGGGTTTGGGGAGCTGGCTCCCGCACCCCGTCCCAGCCGCCTGCTCCCCGCGGCACCCTGGCCACGCACCACCGGCTCCCCTTCATTCTCCCGCAGCTTCCCCGCCCTCCTTCCTCCCTCCCACTGTTTCCATGGATTTATGGCCTTAATGAGAGCAATATTCTGGCATCTCCAATGTGGGACAACCACGGTGCCAGCAGCCTTTCCACCCTCCTCTTGTCACAGCAGCCGAGTGGGTGCCCAGAGGGTGCCCTGGCCACACCAGGAGGGCTCAGCCCTGTCGCCGGTCTGTCACCCTGCATGTGGCAGGGTGAGAAAGGGGCTCTTCTGCTCCTGGACGCAGCCTTGGCTCTTCCTTAGTCTCTGTCACTAAAGGGGTGATGTCAGCATTGGGGCCCAAGCAAGGGGTGACCACCTTGGCCATGCCTGGGACTCACCATCCCTGTTGGGGGTGTTTGGGGTTCAGAGCTTGTCCCTACAGGATTTGCGGACATCACCTTGCAGTGAGCTGGCAGCTCTTGCTTCATCCCTGGCAGCTTCCCCATCCTGCCTGACCTCACCAGGGTAACCTATATGACCCTCCAAGATCAGGAAAAGCCAGAACACCTCAGTTTTCATCATCATCATCATCATCATCGCAAGAGAAGGGGTGAAGACCAGTGGTCACAGTCACAGGATTTGCTGTGGAACTGGTGGCGTGGGAGCAATGAGCTGTCCCACCCTTTCTCTGCAGGGCACCTCTCCCAGTTCCAGGTTTCTCCCTCTTTTTTGGGATGGCTCACAAAGGGATACCAGGTTTCCCCCTTTTTGCAGGTGGGTTATGAAGGTTTTCCAGGTTTCCCCCTTTTTTTTTCTTTTTTTTTTGGAATGGGTCACAAAGTATTTCCAGGTTTCCCATTTTCTGGGGAATGGGTTGTAAAGGGTTTCCAGCCAGAAGAGAGCTGCAGTGGCCGGTATGTGGCAGCTCAGCCATGGAATGCTGACAGCCTGGGGACAAATGTGACCGAGCTGGGAAGCTGCAAACCCCCAATTCCCCACATTCACCACGTCCCACGGGGGTGACTGGGAGGGCTCCACCACCTCATCCCCACCCCCGTCCCTGTCCCCCATGGATTTGGGGGTACAAAGCATCACTCACTGAAAGCTGTGATGGCTGGAGCCGTGGATTCCGAGGGAGCCCTGGATCCTGAGGGATTGGGTGAGGAGGCCGAGGGTGGCAATGCTGAGGGGGTCACACTTGGCCGGACACACGCCTTTATGTGCCGGGGAGGCCCCGGGCGGCCGGACCGGTCTGTGGCCACCGGCACCGGCCTTGCCCGACCGGCCCAGGCCCGAGGCCTGGCCTGGAGAGAGGCCTGGGGCTGGCTTGGGGCAGGGGCTGGTTTGTCTGGGGCAGGGGTTTGGGGAGCTGAGGTTTTTCGGGGCACGGGCTGGTTTGTTTGGGGCAGGGGTTTGGGGAGCTGAGGTTTGTTCGGGGCTGGGAACTCCCAGGGCTTGAGGCCCTGTTCGGGGTCTTCTGCTCTGAGGGGAGCCCCGGCCCTGGGGTGCCCCAGGGGTCAGTCCTGCTCCTCCTGGGAGAGGGGACAGCAAGGAGAAAAACAAAGGGAAAAAACCTTCCAACCCTCTGAAGCTGAAAGAAAAAAAAAAAAAAAAAAAAAGGGAAATAAGAAGAAAAAAGGGAGGGAATATAAAGGGGGGAACAGGTCAAGGGGAAAAATAAAAGAATAAAAAGGAATAAAAATAAAAGACAGAAAAGAAAAAATGAAAAAAGAAAAATATGGAAAACAAAGGGGGAGAATGGAAACAGTAAAAAGAAAAAAGCACTTAAATAAAATTGAATATTAAAAAAAGTAAAGAAAAAATTTGGAAACAAATATCTAGGAAAATAAACTAAATCTGAAAGTCTGGGTGTTGCCAGCTGTTCCCTGTCTGAGCTCACTCCCTGCCAGGGGCTGTTACTCTCCAGAACCTCTCTGTGTCCCCACAGCAGTGCCAGTGGTGTCCTCCAAAAATTCCTCAGTGAAACAGTCTTCACCACATTTGGGGACAAAGGTGTGCCCATAAACCCCATGAGACACCTTGTCCCAGCTGTGGTGTCTCCAAGGTGTTTTTGGGGGAAAACCCACGACTGACAGATAACTGCTGATGCAAGAACACATCCAGCAGGATCAGCAACCCTGGCAGCAGCCATGGATCTCCACATCCATCCACATCACCCCCTGAGGGGCCTCCCCCCTGCCCAGGCAGAAGGAGCAGACAACAAATACCACCAGGAAAGCGTCACCTTCTTTAATTAAAAATAAAAATACAGAGGAATATGGTTTTCTGTGTGGATACTGGGAAGCAGCTCCGGGCTCCCGCACTCCTCTGTCCCGGGGAGCTCCTGGGAGCCAGGCTCCAGCAGCCAGGGCTGTGCAAATTCACACGGAACGATCCCAGAGCTCTCCTTGGCCTCCTCTTCCTCACGCAGAGGTGGCACCAGCATGGAGAGGACAGTCCTTGTAACACCGACTCCGCAGAGGGCAGCAGGGAAAGGCAGAGCAGCAGGTGTATTTACAGATGGGAAACATTTCAAACACAGCATTTCTGCCCCAGGAGCAAAGCCAAGGGTTTTCCACCCAAAAGCAACAGTGGAAAACCATCCAGGAGCCCCCGGCCCCGTCACGCTTGCCGTGCCTTCTTGTTCTTCTTCTTCTGCTCCTTGAGGGCTGCATCGTGGGCTTTCCTCTTCTCAGCCAGTTTGTTGGCCTGGGGAGAGACCCCCGAGACCCTCAGCCAGAGCAGGACAGGGGCTGCAAGCCCTCGGTCCCACCCAAGCTCCAGCTGCACGTGGAGGACGGACCCCACGGCACCGGGATCAGGGCTGGGGTACGGAGAGCCCTGAGGGGACACAGGGAGCTCTGCCCGCCTGGGGCAGCCTGGGGACACTGGCAGGGACCTCAACACCTTCCCCAGGGACAGGGAGGAGCAGAAGGAACGAGTGGGTTTGGGAAGAGCCCGCCCCGGGATGCAGGTGAGGGGCCCAGCCTCCGTACCTCGCGGATTTTGCGCTTCTTCCCAAACATGATCTTCTTGTAGAGGTACTTCTCCCTCTTCTTCATCATCATGATGGCCAAGCGCTTCTCCTCGCTCTGCTGCTCCTGCTCCAGGCGCTGCTTGTCCTCCACCCGCACCTTGCCTGGCGTCACCTTCACAGGAAGCACCTGTGGGGAGCCAGGGAGCTCAGGATGCTGGGAACCCACCCTCCTTCCAAGGGACAGGCATTTCCAGCCCTTTCACTGCGGGCCAGGGAGAGCCACAGCCCTCACAGCCAGGCCAACAGGGCTGGGAGCTGCAGCTCATGAGTGTGGGGCCAGGAGCACCCCTGAAGTGTTCCAGGCTGGGCTGGACAGGGCTTGGAGCAACCTGGGACAGCAGGAGGTGTCCCTGCCCATGGCAGAGGCTGGAACAAGATGAGCTTTAAGGCCCCTCCCAACCCAAACCATTCCATGACTGTGTGAGTACCCCAGTGGTCTCAGGATAGGGACACCCCTCAGCAGGGACAGGGGCACCGGAGCTGCCTCCTTGGGCTCCCACCTTGTTGCTCTGAGTCTTCTGCTCTTCCATCTTCTGCTCTTCCATCTTCTGTAATTTCATCTCCTCTTCCTTCTCAGACTCATCTTCCTCTTCCTCCTCTTCTTTGTCATTGTCACCTTCCTCTTCCTCCTCTTCTTCCTCCTCCTCCTCTTCACTCTCTTCCTCTACAAGGAGACACCACCGTTACCCTTGGGATGCTCTGGAGCAGGCACAGCCCAGCTCCCAAGCTCCTCTGAGGGCTCCCAGCACCTGGATTCTCTCCCCTCTGCAGGGCCAGCAGCTTCAGCTTCTCAGGAGGGACGTAGTCACCCTCCTTCTCCGTCACGAAGGGCGAGAGGTGCGGGGGCAGCAGGACCCCGGGGAAATAATCGGCCACAGGCAGGCACAGCTTGGCGTTGACCGAGTCAAAAACCCACTGGGGCTGCAGGTAGTACCTGGGCGGGGCAGAGGAGTCCCACCTCAGGCTCTGGAGCCCGTGGGACAGCTCAGGGATGGCTGCTCTGGGGAGGGCCCCCCTGCCGCACCCACCTGCCAACCACCTGCTTGTCCAGGCGGGGCCGGTCGATGATGTGGTGGGTGATGGACGGGTCGGTGGCGTCGTAGGTGGCACCGATGCACAGGGACTTGTCCCAGGACACCTGGCCACCAAAGCACCTGCGGGCAACGCCACCAGGGAGTCAGACAGGCAGGTGGGACCCTCAGGGTCACCCCACCCAAAGGCCATCGGGTGGGTTGGCCCCAGAAGTCCTGCCAGAGGGGGAGGCCAGGGTTGCTGAGGGTCTCCTGCCCACCACGCACCGGATGACGAAGGCCAGCGGCTCCCGGGGCACCTCCCTGTTGAGGAAGAAGCGCAGCCCCTCAAAGAGCTTCTTGTGCTTCTCCAGAGCCTCCTGCTCCTTCCTCTTGGCATCCATCAGCTCTGCTGTCTCCTGCTCAGAGCAAAGTCCTCAGCCTCCTCCCCACACACAGCCCTT